TGAAATCATGAAAAAAAAAGAACAGAGAGGCAAACATGCAATTTAATACTTCCTCCGTTTCACAATGTAAGTTATTCTAGCATTTCTCACATTCATATTGATATTAATGAATCTAGACATATGAATATAAAAAATACTAGAATGACTTAAACGGAGGGAGTATCTAATGTTCAGCGTGCCAGCAGCATGAAAGACTATCACTAGAGAACAGATTCCTCAATATGTGACACCCTCTTCGTATGTTCCGGTTCCAAAATCCAGCGCATATGAGGCATTTTTAAGCCCACACAAGATCCCTGAGCATGATTTAAATTTAGAACCGATACTTTTAATATATATCTTATCAATGCTGCTTAAAAAAAAGACACCGATATTGTTAGATGTGATTTAATTTAAAAACCACACTAACATAGGAGGTACTGTGGCAAATTTATTTTCAATTAAATCGGCACCGAAAAGAACCAACCTCTGGAGCTGATCGAGCGATGAAATTAACAAGCCAGTAGGAGGACGTTTTTTTTTTAAGTCTGTCTTTCCTACTCCTTAGTTTTTTTTAAGGAACAGAGAGCTTTATTGATTAGACAATAGGATTACAATCTTACTGCAAAGTTTGCATAATACAGGGCGGAGCACTATCACGCCATCTCGTCCGGTGACTCGGCAGCCGGGCTCATCGTTCTGAAACGATATCTCGATGTTGTGTGCCTCTATCGTCACATCCATGTCGAACACCCATGTGTACCGGTCATACCCGCGCCGGTCATACCGACGTGACGTTAGATCTAATATGAACTTATGGCTAGTAGTTAGCTATAATATTAAACTTAATTGCTCTTAACTTTAAAGTTTCTCACAAATTACAACTATTTTGATCTTTACCTACTCCCCTACCCTAAGTCTATAACCAATCACAACCATTTTTTTCATTTAATTTATCCACCGAATTTGTTATCTCAGTCAATCACAGTCTTTCCCATTTGATTCGATACCTCTCCTTAATCATTAAAGACTACATTGGTCCAAAAAAATAGGAACTTAAAGATAAATTAGGAAGATAGACAAATGACCGAAATAATCATATTTAATAAACACATTACATGTACACATTGCATATATAAACTTAATTAAAAAGAAGGTTGTGACAACAGGTTAGAGATGGGATGAAATGAAGGGAGGAAACGTATTTTAATTTTAATGCAACCATTTTGTTGAGTCCTAAATTATTAAAAATGTAATTTTTATGGGATAAAAGTTGAAAAGTAGAAATTCGGAGAGAGCAAGTTAGCTTTCCTTGCCTACTTTGACCTATTTGTAACAACTACCTTATTTAAGAGGGCTGCTATACAACGGAATCCCGTTTTTGAACGGGATGATACCGATTAGGTATCAGCTCATGATAACTCTAAAGTATCATGTCCTGAAACCTAACCGGTATCAAGTGATACCTATAAGTATCAGATAATTTCTACCATGTATCAAGTGATACTCGTGAGGTATCATGTGATACCTATCAGGTATCAAATGATTTCTACCACGTATTGGGTGATATACTTGCGAGATATCAGATGATACCTACCAGATATCAGGTGATTCCTACTAGGTATCACGAGTTGAGCACCGAGGCACCGTCGCCAGCAACCCCACCCTCCACGACCCATGTTGGAGGTCGTCGCAGGCGGCTGCGTCCTCTGTCGTCCACGCCTCACGTCGGAGGTCGTCGCCGGCGGCCGCGACCTTCGTCGTCCACGCCCCATGTCAGAGCTCATCACCGGCGACCACGTCCTTCGCTACCACGTGCCACCCCGGGCTCGTCTCGCCGGCGGCCACGTCCTCCGTTGTCCATGCGCCGTGCCGCGCCGGAGCTCGTCGCCGGAGGCTTCATCCTCCACTGTCTATAGCCATGCCACGCCGGGAGCTGGTCACCAGTGGCCACGCCGGAGCTCGTCGTTGGAGGTTGCATCCGTGGGGACCAAAATAAGAGCGAGAAGAAGAACCTAGAGTGCACCGTGGGAAGAAAAAATGACCACTGGCGCTGGCGCTGTCGCTGCTGCCGTAGGAATCGCCGATTCCTCCCCCACGCCAGCCATGTGTTTCCTTCCAAAGCTTGTCTAAGTTTTGTCTGAAACAATAAAAAATTCCCAACAGTATCGGTGCCTTAAATGAGATAGATGCAAAGCGGTACACAGGTGGAACAAGAAGATTAGTCCCATCCGGATGGGATGCCGGTAAGTAGCATTTTCGCTATTTAAACAGTAAGTTTATAAAATTTGGAAGGGAGAGGTAATATTTTTTCTTTTTTGGGAAAATTGGTACTATAACATCGAAAGTTCACAACTTTAGAAATATAGCACTCAAAGGTTCTAGTTCACTTTAATAGCACCGTACCGAAAGTTACCATCCGTTACTCTATATAGCATTCCATCCAAAATTCTGTTAACTTCTTTACTTTACCCTTTTTTTTTTCCAGAAAATACACATAAAAAATCTGAATTATTCTTTCCATGGTGTCTAGCACTCTGTAGCTTCAGTACGCCCATGGGTAAATCACCGTCAGCCACCGATCCCAAACTTGCCTGCTCGGATGCCATCAAGACGTGATCTTCGAGCTATCCTCTGTCGCCGGCCTTGAGCTCCGCCGCTGCCTTGGTCATCGAGCTTGCCCTCAGCCATCGGCTTCGAGCTGCACGGCCGCCGCCGTCGACCTACCCCTGTGGCTGCCACTTAAGTTGTCTTGGAGTTTGCCTGATGATGCCCTCGAACTTCACCACAGTATTAGCAGTTGAGCTCCTCCATCAATCTTGTGCTCGAGGATGCTTCCTCCTGCTTGTGTGGCGGAGGAAGAAGAAAGGAGATGTGAGAAGGAGGAAAGCAAAGGGGTGACACTTCAAGAGATAACGACACAGTTTTAACGGAATGCTAAATAGAGTAACGGAAGTTAACTTTCGGTGCTATTAAAGTGAACCAGAACCTTTGAGTGCTATATTTTTAAAGTTGTGAACTTTCGATACTATAAAACCAAATTTCCCTTTTTTTTTTGGAACATTTGATCCGATGATCAAGTTGCCCATTAAAACGATCGATTGATGTTGCCTGCAGGCTCAACTTGTCTACCTGCTGCGGATCTTTCTATCATTCGTTCTGAATATTGATATATTCTAATAGCATAAAATTGAACGGAATATGTTATATCTGGTATTCCTTCATTTTAAAAAAGTTGTACCTATTACTTTTATCATCAAAATCAAGAAGAAATTAATTCATCTTGTATTTGACAAAGATCGACGAGTGCATACATACATGCAACCAATGAATATTAAGATAACTCATCAAGTTATGATCAAACATTTAATTTACCTCTATATTTAGGTTTTGGATCCATATAGACTACGAACAGGAATAACTTATTTAGAAAAACTCAAATATGAAATATACGTAACTCTTATGGATGGAGGCGAGAACGGAGTGAGTATATATTCGGCAGTAACTGTCGCACATCTTTTGGATATTGGCGAGGACTGTTGTGGACTAGTACTACGTAGTAGTGCCTGTTTCTTTCTTAATTAGTGTACATGTAGAGTAGTACCATATATAGAATGCTCTCTACCTCTATTATAGGAATTTATGTTATGCGTATATTGTATGTACTAATCAGCGAGGCCTCTCGATATTATCTTATTATGCGACGCTGCTTAGATTCGTCCGATCGTGCACCTGTGTCATAGCTGTTAGATCGGGGGAGCGGTGAAGATGCCTGCATGCGATTTTTCTATTAGACATGCATGTCTTTTTCTTCTTCTTATAAAATTTTCTCTCAAATTACTTATCCGATTTACAATCCGATTATACCATTGTATTCGTTACAATTAAATCTTCATAACGAGATCTTACATGATTATATTACGATGAAAAAATATTTATATTTGTAAATTAATTTTATTATATACGTAAGTTACTTTTATCATATATATATATATATATATATATATATATATATATATATATATATATATATATATATATATATATTACTTTTATAGATTTTACATTCATAATGCTCTAAGTTGATTATTTTTATTATTGTTTTTAATCAATTCTATAATTTATGGATTTTAAATTTAATTTTTAGATAAACCATATATTTCTCACTAGAACAAATTCTCTTATTCGTATCCTTGACAAACGTACTTCCACTGTGTGCTAAGTTACTTTTATGATTGCTGTAAATTAATTTTAAACTTTATTAAATTTACTTTCATAAATGCATTTGCTTAAAAATCTTTCTCTACACTTTACGTGTGAATTAACTCTACATAGTTTTTTTTTCAACTCAGTTACAATGTAATTACTTCTACTACTTCTATTATATAGCTAAGTTACTTCTATAATTTAAATAAATTACTTTTAAATTGATAAAATATTTGAATATATTCAACATGAATCTTGTTTTGTCACATATTCTATGTAGAGTACAATGATGCAAATAGATTTGAAAATAATATGTGATTTAAAAGATATAAGTTATTAAAGAGGATAAATCTAAAAGTAATTTGTATATATGATAAAAGTAATTTGCAACATAGATGTTTTTTATCAGAATATAATTATGTAAGATCTTGTTATAAATATCTAATCGCAACTAACACAACTGTACAGTCGGATTATAGACCGGATAAGTAATTGAAGATAAAATTATGTAAGAAGAAAAAAAAGATATGCACTATTTGAGTGTACTAGTAGCAACCATGGAGGCACATGATGTTGTGTCGCGCTTGGTGGACACTCAAACGCCGCTTCCTTTTCTAGGAAGGCAACACAAAGATAGGGGAAAGAGCGTTAATTCTTTCTTTTTTTAGAAATAAAGTTGATAGCGTGATGTAGTCATGTCCGCGCGCGGCTATAAATACATGGGCAGGAGGAGGGAAAGAAATTACAGCAGCACTGAGCTTATAAATCAGTAGCTAAGCTAGCTAGCAAATTAAAATCATCTCATCGCCGGCGTGATGACGATGATGCCGAGCGGCGGCGGAGCGCGGGTGCGGGCCCACTTCCGCGGCGTCCAGTGGCGCAAGTCCGGGCGGTGGTCGGCGGAGATCAGGTCCAGAGGGGCGTGGGGCCGCCGCCGCCGGCTGTGGATCGGAACGTACGACACGGCGGAGGAGGCGGCGCGGGCCTACGACGCCGAGGCCCGCAGGTTGCACGGCGCCAAGGCCAAGACCAACTTCCCCCCGCCGCCGCCGCCGACCGCCGTGCACGACGACCATGTGGACCTCGAGGCGCACATCAAGTTCCTCAGCGAGGTGGAGCTGGACGGCGATCAGGAGACGCCGCCGGAGAGCCAGGTCGGCGATGATCAGGCCGGAGGCCAGCACCAGCACCACCACGGATGTCGCCTTGACCATCTCCTCTTGATGATGTGCAACTAATTAAGTTAAGTGATTTAATTATATATTAACGTGCTACCTGCAGATTAATTATCTACTCATCGCGTGTGTATTAATTAATTAAACCATCAGTTGTACTCTCTCCGTTTCAAAATGTTTGACACCATTGACTTTTTTTTTACATGTTTGACTGTTTGTCTTATTAAAAAAATTTATGAAATATGTAAAACTATATGTGTACATAAAATTATATTTAACAATGAATCAAATGATATGAAAATAACAAATAATTACTTAAATTTGTTGAATAAGACGAATGGTCAAACATATACTTAAAAAGTCAACGATGTCAAACATTTTAAAATAGAGGGAGTATATTTTTTTATGCATCACGTACGTATATATTATCTCTTTTTATGTATAATAAGTAGAAAAATGCCCGTGCATTGCAACGCTTGAACAATATTTTAATCTTATTATTGTTATTATACGGTTTAGTTAGGGTGAAATACATTGTGGGAATTCGCTTGGATATATATTCTGTTTTTAGAAAAAAATCATGAGCTGCAATTAAGATTCTATCATGGTTATGGATACCACATACTTAATAGTAGTTGACTAAGTTTGGTATGACCGACCACATACCATGTCTTATACGGAATCATATCTCGTGTGTAGAAGGAGTTCTGGATAAGGAATGACGAATAAATTTCTATATGGAAATGATAAGGACTACTCCTATTGTATCCATATTGGTCTCCCTAACTCTACTTGAAAAGTGGCATTTATGATTTTAAGTACAAGCCCCCTAGGAGGAAAGGGAACAGAGCCACAAGACACAACATATACACAAACTAATACATCACTAGATATCGACATCAGAGATAAGCCTAAACAAACCCAATCCGGTGCCTGCGAAGGTCGGCAAAAGGGATCTAGTGCCATCTCTGATCTCGACGAGTTCGCATTCAAGGAGGAAGACTACCTTGCCATCGACTACGAGTTGGTTATCTATGCCGCTAAGTCGACGACAGCTAGATAGATTATCCCCAATATTGTACTTGTGTGATTCAGATGAATATAGAGCAACAACTGCTTCGGCCAACAGGAGTAAGGCTATTACCTGTCAGATAAAGGGCTCAAACCTGTATAAAAATCCTTGTCTCCATCTCTTTTACCTCAATCTCGTATAACCATGGTATCGACGATCCCTATACCATCCAAATACGGTAGTCGCGATCTCAAACGTCGATAGAATCCGATCGTCTTAAATTAGCATGCTAGTTTTTTTTAAGAGTTTTCTCCTTTTATATTTCCAAAAGCGAACGAACTTCAAAACTGACTCAAATACGGATATATATTTCTAAAAGCAAACGAACGTAAAAACTGACTCATACACGGCTGATGTACCAAAATACCGGCAAAAAACATTTTCAATTTTTATAATAGTAGAGATAGAGATATATACTATAAGCTGTGTGCTAAAGGGTAATTAATTGGTTTCTTAATTTCTTTCAGACTCATGAAATATATTATATAAACAAATGATCGACCAGAGGAATTTCGACTGAATTTGCAGCTTGCGTCTCTTCACTCCAATTCGATCAGAACCATCAAATGATCAGAACTTCAGTTGGCCGTACGGAAAAAAATAATCAGAACCTCAGTTCATCAGCTAGCTAGTTTAATTATTTATAGACTGAAGAGAAATAAAAAAAAATCAATCAGATTCAGGGCGCATGCATCATCATCAGTAGGTAACACCCCCGTAATATGCATGTGTTGCCATTGCATTTGACCGCAGCCTTGTTGTTAGCACTATGTTTAAAGCAACAAAAGGAAAATTCAACAAGTGAACGTAACACTAGAAAATAATTAAGAGCTTTCATTTTTCCATCGATTGTAGAAGAGAATCCAAACTGACAGCTTTAATTTGCAGTTGTCTCTACTTTGCTGTCGAATATGTAAAGTGGCGTTGCATTTGATCAGTAACTTATCTGTTCTTTGCATCTAATCAGAGCCTATGCCAAGGAGACTGATGATGGACAAGGAGCGACAAGAACTGCTGATCTGAAGAAGAAGGGCGGGAGACTGGGAAGCAAGGCGTGCCAGATGATGAACAAGAAGAATCAGAGTTAGCGCCACCACGCCGGAATGGGCCTTATAATAGATCCATTATATTACAGACTTGCATTAGCTGTGGCACTAGCGTGAGAGAGAAGGATCGATGGTTGGTGAGACTGTAATATAAGAAGAGAAGAGAGTACTCTGCTTGATGAACTCAGGCTTGGCAACTTGGCGGCGATGGCTCAATCCTGATGGATTGGAGCAATATATCTACTAAATAGTTGCCTGAATTATCTGTGTGCGTTCTTGTTCTTGTTTCCCTTTCTATTTTCTCTAATTAGCTCTCCGAGTAGTCGACGATCTGGTATCAGAGCCTTCCAGAGAAGGATTGGGAATTGTTCTTCGGATCAATTTTCCGCGAAAATGCAACTTGCCTTCTTCCGATTGACTGAGTTCGGAGAGGGAGCGGTCGATTCTGTTGCCCGCGTCACAGCTCAGCACACCCATAAAACCCATGGCTCATGAGGGGAAACTAGATCTTCCGTTGAGAACTATGGAGGAAAACGAGAGGAAAAGGGAGGAGTCGGAGGAGAGGTCGATAAATGATTTTGCAAATTTGAAGAAGGTGATCGAGGTGCGGATTCCTCAGGTGGAGAAGAAGGTGGAGGAACTCAGGGTTTCAGTGCAGACGCTCAGTGACGGAGCGTGGGGCTCCTCACCGGGAGACCGCGCAGGCCCCCCTTTGCCGGTTCGGCCGGGGGCCCTGGGTGAGATTCTAAGCTCTCGGTGTGTGTGTGGAAGGTTCGCGAGAGTGGAAACACACAAGACACGGGCGATGTATACAGGTTCGGGCCGCTGAGAAGCGTAATACCCTACTCCTGTGTTTTGGTGGATCTGTGTATGAAGAAGCTACAAAGTGCGAGCCAGCCCCCGATCGTTCAGGGATCGTTTCCCCCCCTCTCTAAGTGGGCAAGGTCCTCCTTTTATATTTCAAGGGGATACCACATGCACCATCTCTCCCTCTCTTTCTTTTGTGTGGGGACTCATCCTCTCTTCCCTCCAACTTGACTTCTCTTCATTAATGGACGGAGATTTGTATGGCTGCCGTCCGAATGACCTTCTGATGGGACGGCCCATACCTACCTCCACTTCCACCGGAGGCAGGCGCGACGTGGGAACATGGCTGTCTGCTGACGACATGACCATTGTCAGACCGGTCATAAATCAGTCATTCTTGTCCACCACGTGTCAGTTTAACAATCTGCATGTTCGCCCCTCTTCATACAATGTCTTGCTTGTAATGGTTAGGATGAAGCCTGGTATATATCTGACCGGGACCAACGTGCCATCTCCAGGAGCTAACACGCCGGCTCCGGCTAGGGACGAGTGCTTGGAGGCTCTCATCCTGATGGGATGGGGCGAGGCGTGCGTTAGACCGCCTGTCGCCACCTAACCCACAATCTGATCGGTCTGTGACTGGTCACAGACCGGATAAACGAGCGCGCTGCACTGCGTTACATGCGGAGTGACGCGCTCGCCCAAACCGCAATAAATGTGGTTAGGTGAGCCCCGCTATGCTCACCTACCCCATATACGCGGCGCAAAACCCACAAGGGGTCGGGGCGCCTCGGCCCTCGGGGCCGAGACGGGAGCAGTCCGACCCCTCGGGGAGACAAAGAGAAGGGCGGCCGTATCACCCTCGGGCCCGACCCCCCCCCCGAGGGGGTTAGGCCACGTGGGTGATCGTGTCTGCCTCAAGTCTCTAAGTCATGATACTCCCGATCCCATGTCACCGACAGTAGCCCTCGGCGTTATGCCAGGGCGATCGCCCTCCTCGAGAGAAGCGGTCGAGCGTGACGCCACTTCCTAAGGCCTGGTGACAGGTGGGGCCGGTCTAAAAATCGGGACAAGCCGGTTCGTTTTTCCTGGAGATATGGTGATGGCGCTTCGGTCGGCGAGCGTAATTAACGCACGCACGAGATGTTCCATCTCGACTGCCACAGCCGCATATCCACCTCATGCACCGCAAACGGGCGAATGGGATTAGTGGAAGCGTGGGCGCGAGAAACGAGGGGGCAAGATAGTGGGGCGCGAGAAACGAGGAGCCGGGCACAGCGTTGGCAAGGGTATAAAGTCGCCGAGGAAGAGATTTGCTTCCTTCCTCTCGCCATTATTCCCCTTGTCTTCGCCGCTTGCGCCCTAACTCCTTGTTTCCTGTGCCCTACCTTCGCCACACGCGCTCGCTCTCAAACATCTCTTCTTCCGGCGTCATGGCACGGGGCTCCGCTCCGCTTGACGGTAGCGTGCTGCCGCCTTCCCGCATCGTGAGCGAGAGACAGGCCGGGCTGCCGCGCCGCTTCATGCCGGAATCTGCCACCGGCCGGGAGATAGTCTCGCTGGGCGAGGGATGCCCGGCACCACGCTACCCGGGGCGGTCCGTCTTCTTCCTCCCTTTTGCTATGGCAGGGCTGGTTCCGCCATTTTCTTCTTTCTACATGGATGTTCTGGAGTTTTACGATCTCCAGATGGCGCACCTCACCCCCAACGCGGTAATGACATTGGCCATCTTCGCGCACCTGTGCGAGATGTTCATCGGGGTGCGCCCATCCCTTCGGCTGTTCCGGTGGTTCTTCACCGTACAGCCGGTGTCGCCGCCGTCGGTGGTTGGTGGTTGCTACTTCTAGCCGCGGGGGCCGGTGCTGAACCGCTACATTCCCTGCGTCCTCCGCAAGAAGTGGGATGACTGGAAGAGCGACTGGTTCTACACCCCCCTCGCCGACGAAGCGCGCCTCCGACTTCCGAGCCAGCCTCCAGTGCAGGCCTCCAACTGGCGGGCGCCGGTAGATCTGGGAGATGGCTACAACGCCGTCCTCGACCGCCTGGCGGGCCTGCGATCCCAGGGGCTCACAGGGGCCATGGTGTTCGGCGACTATCTTCGTCGCCGGATCGCGCCACTCCAGCGGCGCGCCCGGGGCGCCTGGGAGTACACCGGGTCCGAGGACTGTATGAGGACCCACCAGGGGGTCAGATGGGACTGGGCTCCTGAGGACTTCAAGATAGTGGTCCAACGGGTGCTGAATCTCAGCTCCGTGGAGGCATCCCTCATTCCTCAAGGAGTCCTCCCCCTCTGCAGCGATCCAGACCGCGCCTCCATCCTGACCATCATGCAGGCGGTCGGGGCGTCGGAGGAGCGGGCTCCTCGAGGCCACAATGGCGCGGGCGGGAGCCGCAGGGGGGAACGATCTACCCCGGGAGGGGGTCGTGCTTCTGGGCCCCGCGACGGGGGCCCGGGGAGCGGCCGCCCTGCCGATGCCCGGGGGAAGAGGAAGCAGGAAGGAACCCCTCCCCCATCTCCTCACCGGGCGGCGCGTGCCAGCAGCAGGCGCCCGGAGGGGGCCACGCCGACGTCGCAGCCCGAGGGGGAGCGGAAGAAGAAACGGCTCCGCAAGATGGGGGGACAGAACCATCCCGGGGAAACCTCATTTCCCCTCCAAGGTGGTCGTTTAACCGACCCCCTCGCAGGTTCGTCCCACTCCCATCGTGGCCGTATTCATTCTCTCAACGCGAGTTTTCACTCATCCATCTTGTTTGTCTTCTGGTCTTTCTTCTGTTTCAGCGAGATCCCGTCGCGTCCTTCTTGCCAACCCAAGTCCGGCCAATCTGAGGCTGAAAATGCGGCGACCACGGAGGCTCGGAGGCGGGAATCTGACCGGCGAGAAGCCGCGGATCGCCTACGGGAAGCCGAGGAGGCCGCCCGGGGGGCCGCCCGGGCTCGCCAGGCTGAGGAAGCCGCTCGGGAGGAGGCCAGACTCCGCCAGGCCGAGGCGACGACATCCTCCGAGGCAACCCGCGAAACTGATCGGCAAGGAGCCGCGGATCGCCTTCGGGAAGCCGAGGAAGCTGCCCAGGTGGCCGTCCGAGCTCGCCAAGCTGAAGAAGCCGCTCGGGAGGAGGCCAGACTTCGCCAGGCCGAGGCGGCGACGACTTCCGAGGCAGCTCACGACGAGGCCGCGGGCGCATCGCTTGGGCCCACTCCCTCGGGCGACGCTCAGGACAAACCAAGTCCGGGGGACATCCCCGAGTCCGGCACGTCCATCGGCGGGCCAAGCCGCGCGGCATCCTCTTCGAGGCGGCTCTTCCCCACGCCTTCCGTTGCTCCACTGAGCGCAGAACCCCTTCTGCAGGCCTTGGCCGTCGCAAACACCACGGTGTTGGACGGGTTAAGTGCCCAAGTGGAGGCCCTGCAAGCAGAGCGGGCGGAGCTTGACGCCGCATGGGCGCGTGTCGAAGAGGGGCGACGCTCGGTGGAGGCCATGGTGGAGGTGGGCCGCAAGGCACACCGCCGGCACATCTCAGAGCTCGAAGCCCGTTGGAAGGTGCTGGGGGAGATCGCCAAGGAGGTGGAGGAGGAGCGGGGGGCTGCCCTCATCGCCACCACCGTGATGAACGAGGTGCAGGACACCCTCCGCCTTCAATACGGGAGCAGGGAGGCGGAGCTAGGGAAAAAGCTCGACGCCGCCCGGGGGGTCCTTGACGCTGCCGCTGCCCGAGAACGGCGGGCGGCGGAGACCGAGGTGGCATCCCGGCGGCGCGAAGAAGCCCTTGAGGCCCGTGCCATGGCGCTGGAAGAGCGTGCCTGCGCCGTGGAGAGGGACCTGGCGGATCGCGAGGCCGTCGTTGCTATTCGGGAGGTCACACTGGCGGTGCACGAAGCCGCCTGTGCCGAAGAAGAGTCCGCGCTCCGCCTCCGCGAGGACACGCTCACCGAGCGGGAGCGAGCTCTCGAGGAGGCCGAGGCCGCGGCGCAACGGCTGGCGGACAGCTTGTCCCTCCGCGAGGCTGCGCAAGAGGAACAAGCGCGTCGCAATCTGGAAAGTGCCCGCGCCGAGAGGGCCACGCTGAACCAGCGGGCCGCTGAGCTCGAGGCGCGGGAGAAGGAGCTGGACGCGAGGGCGCGCAGCGGCGGGGCGGCCGCGGGCGAAAGCGACTTAACCGCCCACCTCACAGCTGCCGAACACACCATCGCCGATCTGCAGGGCGCGCTAGACTCGTCCGCCGGGGAGGTCGAGGCC